AAGCAATGGGAGGTGTGATTACGACCGCCACGCACGGAACCGGCATCTCGTTCAAAATCTTGGGGGATGACGTCCTCTCTCTATCTCTCCTTTTGGCAGACTGCACGCTCGTCTACTGCTCTCGTTATGAGAACTCGGACCTCTTCAAGGCCACTCTATGCGGCCTGGGATCGACCGGACTCGTCGTTTCCGTTCAGATCCGCGTAGAACCGGCCTTTCGACTCAGGGAAACCCAAGAGACACGCGAATTTGAAGACGTGATGGAGAACTTGGACGAAATTGTCCAAAAGGCACAACACGTCCGGTTATGGTGGTATCCGCAAAACAAAACTGTTCGCGTCTGTAGCGCCGATCGAACCACAGAGGTGAGCAATTTCGAGTTCATTCAACTTTGACAACTTTCCGTTATGTAGTTACACATTCCCCACCCCTTTTTCCCCTTCTATTAGTCTCGATCGCTTGTCCCCCTTCGCGGCGGATTTTTTTCTCTCTCCTTTTCAATTTTGTTGTCATAGACTTGTCGGCCAAGTGCGGTTAACTGACGTGCCTTCCCATCCCAATTCTTTTTCCATGTCTACATTCAATGGCGCGCCTCGCGGTATAACCGAGTACAGCCGGGACAGCCCGAAACTTCATCAAGGAATTTTTTCACGGTGCTTCTAACGCACCATTTTGTCGAATTTTTCCTCTTCCTGGCTCGGTTCATTCCATTCTTGGCGTATTATATCGCACGCTATGTCGCCTGGATGGAATCAGCCCCCTCGGTAGTCGTCGGCGAAAGTGGCTCGATCCTGAGGACGGACTGTAGAGTAAGTCATATTGGATTTTGATATCTTCTAGTGATCGAATCTAATCAACTCTATCTCACTTTTCATAGTTTGCTCAACATACGACCGAATGGGCCATCCCATACGAATACACCAAAGAATGCCTAGTACACCTCAACAAGTGGCTCGAAGAAGAACCTTACAGTACCAACGGAACATATCCAAATTTTCCTATAGAATTACGTTTCTCCGCTCCAGACGACATCTGGCTGAGTCCCGCGTATGGCCGGCGGACCTGCTGGATCGGTATCATACAATTCAAGTACGTTACGTTCCTTCCGTCGATCATGGGTCCCCTTTTCTTCCCATCGGCGCTACATGCTTGCCGCCTCCTAGCCATAACATATGAATTCCATGTCAGCCACATCCCATGCCTCATCTGCGTCACAATGCCGTCGCCGGCGGTAGCGAAAACGCACCGCTCCCTATTCTCATGTGTCCCACCCGATCAAACTTATGCTCGGTGGTCATCTAGACTCTCAATTAAGGCCCATTCGCGTGCTCTGTCTGATCGGGTGGCAGATTTATGCTTTTGACGTCCACATACCCCCTCGCGTCCTCCTTCCCCATGCCATATCTCCGGGCATCATTTCGACTTCTTATACTGACGTGCTTTATTCTGTTCCTTTTATGACAGGCCTTATGGTTTACCAGTACGCTATCAAGAATTATTCCGGCGATTTGAAAATATCATGATCTCGTTCAACGGACGACCCCATTGGGCGAAGCCACATCACCTCGGCCCAGACCAACTTCGACATCTCTATCCACACTTTGATGACTTTGTCAAGGTTGTGGAATCCGTCGACCCTACTGGTCTCTTTAGGAACCCGAATGTACGGCGGCATATCTTTGGCGAACAGGGGCCGAGTGTCGATGAGCGACTGTTCAAACAGTACAAATCATAGGTCCAGAACAAAAAGGCGAAAAGGGCAACTACTCGGCCATACGGGGATTGAAGAGAAGGGCATGTCCTATGATTTCGTTCCCTTCTCTTCGAGGACGCCCTTTGATCCCATAATCACGACCACCCAAAAAGTAAAAAAGACAGCGAACCTCCCCGAAATGATCGTGCAAAAAAATAAACCCGTGCATTATGACTTAAATCATGTGCTTTTTCGACGACCCAAGTTTTGAAATTTCGTTTCGAGCAAATAGTGCGGACAAACCGGACTCTGGATTCATTATGATCTATGCCGTCATTCCTGTCTTACTCTCTCTATCGCTTTCTTCTCCTCAAAGGACAAGAGGAATATCTTGGCCCTAAAGATTGCACTCAATCACTCCCCTTCCGTTCTCCTCTCAAACCCGCCGCTTCTGCAACCGAAGGTGCATCACACATCCCTCCTTCGCCTTGCTTCCTTTGCTCCGTCCTTCATCCAAATCCCTTCTCCTCATCACTGCGTCATCTTTTCTCATCATTTTTCATCAAGTCAAACTCATCGTTTTCCTAATCTCATTCACTCTTCTTGGGCAGTCTCGGTAGAAAAAACAAAGCAAAATCCATTTTCCTATCCAATCAAGGATCCCTTCGATCCATCATC